TGGATGTTTTCTAGTCTATTTTCAGTTCTCAGTATTAGACATACTCTCCTAATACCTCAGAAAGGGATACAAAGATGTGTAAGTATAAATCCTTTAAGGTGTTTGGTATTTCAGGGGGAGTTTTGATTGAAGTGACTGTTGTAAAGATCAGTGATAGAATGAAGGCAGTCCTTACCACTTAGCTTGTACAATTTGCATATTGTTAGGGGTTACAAAATGATGACATTCAAATTGTATCATGTGTTCTTCATTTATTAGCTGCATTATTCCTGTAAAGAGAAACTTTTCATCTATGATTGGGTTACTTGGTAGTGTAGTTGATATATAGTTAAGTCAGAATACTTGAAGAATGCTTGCTCTTTATTTACCACTTTTGAAAGTAATGAGCTGGTTCACTAGCATCCTGAAACTGAGTTTTCCTTTCTTCCTTCCTTCTTTTCTTCTTCCCTCCCTCCCTTAAATCCATCCATGAACTCAGAGATTTGAACTTTTTAGATATGCTTCATTCCATTTTATTTATGCATGTTCAGATTTGTTCATGTTTGGTCAGCAGGAACCTCTTCAGGTTTGCTCCTGAGTCCCTTTAACACAGTTATGATCTTTGATAATTTCCTTGCTTTCTAGTAACAAGGTAATCAAAATTCATCTTGTCTAATTTGTCACAGTTCTGGAAACAGTTATTTGTCCAAGAAGCCCTGATTCCTTTGAAGAGGAAATTGTTTTTCAGTACCATTATCTGAGTTTATTGCTACTGGGGTTAGTCCCTTGCTTCCAGGCCTTTTCAGTGTGTAGTGCTAGGAAATCTCCATATTTAAGAAGAAAACATGAATTTATACTGATAAATCAATTGAAATTCAGAACTACAGGATTTTCTGCTTAACTTTTTCTATCTTCTGACTTCTTCCTACTACAAAAACTACAAAAAACAGACTTTCAAGGACATCCACATTTACTTTATCCTACAATAGACATCAACACTTTCACAGTAACTACTGACACTTACCAACATTGCGATTACTGAAAAAACAAAACAAGGATGCTAGGATTAGTCAATTTTCTGTGTTAAAAGTCATTTAAAATAGTTAATCTTTGAATGGTTATACCATCAGTTTGGTATAATATTATAATTACTTGTTTTTCATTTTTAGGGATTTCTTTTAAAATTTTAGTTTGTGGGGTACCTGGGTGGCTTTGGTTGAGTGTCTGACTTTGGCTCAGGTCATGATCTCATGGTTCGTGGGTTCTTACCCACATTGGTTCTTACCCATGTTGGGTTTTGCACTGATATTGCAGAACCTGCATTGAAGAAGTCTGTCTCCCGCTCTCTCTCTCGAAAATAAATAAACATTAAAAAAAAAATAAAAAAAAATAGTTTGTTATATAATTATGTAAAACATTTACATGGTTTGAAAGTTAAAAGCTACAAAACAGGTTAAACCCAGAATAGTGTAGTTCTTTCCCTGTTTGCTTTGTTCATTCTCTCCAATAGGTAGGGTATTCTTTTAACCTTACAGCTTACTCTTTTAAGCATATACATATATATCTCTATATTCATATCTTCCCCATCCTACCTTAAATAAATTCAAGGGTATTTATTCTAAGAAGTCTTATATTGAGTGGAAGGTTGGATTTCATAACTACTGGTGCTTTGTTTTTTTTGTTTTTGTTTTTTTAATTTTAGAGTTGTGCAGCCATCACCCTGCCAGGATATTAGAACGTTTTCATCACGGCCAAAAAGTTCCATTGTGCCCATTTACAGTTAATCCTGGTTCCTGGTCCCAGCCCTAGGCAGCCACTGTCCACTTTTCTGTTATTTCTAGATATTTTATATAAATGAAATAATACAGTAATGTACTATTTTACATCTGGCTTCTTTCACTTAGCATGTTTTTAAAGTTAATCATGTTGTAGCATGTATACCAGTGGTTCTTTTAATTGCTGAACAGTATTCTGTTGTATGAATATATACATTTTGTTTATCTTACCAGTTGATGGACATTTGGATTGTTTCCAGTTTTTGTCTATTGTGAGTAATGCAGCTTTGCATATTCACATTTATATGGATGTATATTTTCATTTCTCTTTGAGAAGGTTCCTAGGAGCAGAATTCCTGGTTTATATGGTAAAGTGTATGTTTAACTTTTTAAAGAAACTGCCAGACCGTTTTTCAATGTGATTTATACTTTACATTCTCACCAGCAATACAGAAGGGTTCTATAGTGTCTCCACATCTCTGCCAACTGTTGGTGTACTTTCTGTCATTTTGAATTTATCCTTTCTAATAGGTGTGTAGCAGTGTGGTAAGGTTTTACTTTTAATGATATTGAGAATGTGTTCATGTGCTTATTAGACATTCATTTTTTTTGGTGAAATGTTTCTTTAAATCTTTTGCCCATGTTTAAAATAGAGTTGTCTTTTTACTCATTTGTATGAAATGTTTTAATATGTTATAAGCCCCTTATCATTTACTTTTTCAAATTTACATTTACAAATACTTTTTTGTATATACAAATACAAATGTATTTACAAATACATTTACAAATACTTTTTCACAGTCTGTGGATTATCTTTTCATTTTCTTAATGGTGTCTTTTGAAGCACACATTTTTAATTTTGTGGAAATCCATTTTATATTTTTTTCCCTTTTGAAGATTGTGTATTGATGTCACATCTAGCACTTTGCCCAACCCAAAGTTATGATTTTCTCCTGTGTTTTTCTTCTAGAATTTTAGGTCTTACGTTTAGGTGTTTGTGATTCATTTTGAGTTAATATTTGTGTGTGTTGTAAGATAAGGATCTGAACAGTTGTTGGTTTTTGTTTTTGGCATTTGAGTATTGAATTGTCCCACGTGATGTGTGGAAAATACTCTCCCTTTTGAATTATCTGGGCACTTGTTGCACAAATCAGTTGACTATAAAGAATTTTCATTCTGGACTCTTTTCCATTCATTTATATGCTTATCCTTTTGGCACTACCACATTGTTTTGATTACTGTAGCTTTAAAGATGATTTTGGAATTTGATAGAATAAGTCTTCTGACTTTGCTCTTTTAAAAAATTGTTCTGGCTATCCCAGGTCCTCTGACTCCCTAAGAATTTTAGAAACAATCTATCAATTAAAAAAACAAAACAAAACAACTCACCTGAGATTCTCATAAGGATTACATTGAATTTATAGATCAACTTGGGATGAATTTTCTTTTTTTTTTTAACTTTTTTTTTTTAAACATTTATTCATTTTTGAGAGACCTAGACAGAGCATGAGCAGGGGAGGGGCAGAGAGAGGGAGACACAGAATCTGAAGCAGGCTCCAGGCTCCGAGGTGTCAGCACAGAGCCCAACGTGGGGTTCAAACCCACAAACTGCAAGATCATGACCTGAGCCAAAGTCAGACGCTTAACCATCGGCGCCCCGGGGTGAATTTTCATCTTGTGTTTAACCTGGGCTTATGCATCCTCAGGCTGCTAAGAACTGTGCTGTTTGCCTTCTCCAGCTGAGTAGCTTCCGAGAAGTCACTTTGAGTGATTGTGTCTCTGGGTCTTGGCTTTATCCTTTGCACTAAAAATGGAGTGAGTCCCCTGCCATCACAGCAGCTTCTGGTCCTCATAGGATAACACTGATGGAGCTGGGTGGTGGTCAGGGAGAACTGGGCAGCCCCAGACCAGAACACCACAGATTCTCAATGTTGTTAGTTGAAATCAAGCTTATTTTATTTTATTTTTTTATTTTATTTTACTTTATTTATTTTATTTTTTTATTTAAAAATTTTTTTTAATATTTTTATTTTTAAATTTTATTTTTTTTAATTTACATCCATATTAGCATAAAAATCAAGCATTTTTCAAACATAAATGCTTCTCAAATAATTTTATGTGTTTGGAAATGAAAATGACTCATTTTGTAAAAAGAATTTCAGGTTTATAATTGCTTTTAAGGGAGAAGGTTTGCTGATTCCACTTGCCTATAATTCAAAGTACCTTCTTTCCTATGCCTGAGTCTTAAATTACATAGTTTGTATGAGAAAATAGGTGCTGCTTTGATTTTATTGCTAACTATTTGTCCTGAATTGAGGACCAAGCACATTGCTTCTTTGAGGAGTAGGATGGAAATAGGGACTGAATCTAGTTGCTTTCCCCTTCCTGACACACAACCTACACAGGTCATTTTTTAATTTGGGAGTTATATCTGGTTGGAAGACTACTTTCACTTTTATACGATACTGCTTTACTTCAGATATTTGTGGTTTATGACTAGGATCGTTTTGTATTTTGTCAGAAGAATTTGAGTCAGGTAATATGCCCCCTTTTTCCTTTTGAAACATTTAAACATAATTTTTTTTTGTCATTGTATTTTGATTTTCTGTTGGAGAACAATTTGAGTTTAGTGTAGTACTTCCTTTTTTCTTTTGATACATGAACATAGTTCTTTTTCATCTTAACTATATTTTAATCTTTTCTTAGTTTATGATTAGTGTATATAATGTAAAATGTTTTGAAATTATACTTTTTTGGGTGAAGATGCCTTGGTACTAATACCCTTCAACAGAGTTTAATGAGGGTGGGGACTAAGTGTCTCTCTTTCCCAATGTTTAATACAAAATAAACAGTATGATTTTGTTCAGTACGTTGTAGCATTATTGTGTTGCATTAGGTTGAAGTTCCAAGGGTTTTAAGCTTAGTTTGTGCTTTTGGTGACTGATCTTCACCTCTTTATAGCCTTTGGAGAAGAGCATAAGAAAGTGGACCAGAACATACTGTTTGGGAGAGAAACATAGAATCAAGGAAGATTCTGGTTTGAGATAAAGGAATGGGGAATATGGCATGGAAGTGAAGTACACTATTGAGTATTTTTCCATTTCCTGTAAGATCTGTTTTTTGTTACCTGGTCTGGTGAGTTTAACCCATCTCAATAGATTACTTAAAATCTCATCTTAACTTCAGTATATGAAGTCATAAGTTTGTTTTACTAAAATCTTTGCTTTCCTCCTTTTTCCCTCTTAGGACATTTGCTACAAGATCCTATTGCACCCACCAACTCCACCTGCCAACATTATGTCTGCAAACCTTGTAAAGGCAAGAAAATGATGATGAAACCTTCATGTAGCTGGTGCAAAGACTATGAGCAATTTGAGGAAAACAAGCAGTTAAGCATCCTAGTGAACTGCTACAAAAAACTATGTGAATATATAACACAGACTACATTGGCACGGGATATAATAGAAGCGGTCGACTGTTCTTCTGATATTTTGGCTTTGCTTAATGATGGATCATTGTTTTGTGAGGAGACAGAAAAACCCTCAGATTCATCCTTTACTTTGTGTTTAACACATTCCCCTTTACCTTCGACCTCAGAACCCACAGCTGATCCTCAAGTTAGTTTATCTCCAATATCTGAAAGCACCCTCAGCATTGCTATTGGCAGTTCTGTTATCAATGGTTTGCCTACTTATAATGGGCTTTCGATAGATAGATTTGGTATAAATATTCCTTCACCTGAACATTCAAACACAATTGATGTATGTAACACTGTTGACATAAAAACTGAGGATCTGTCCGACAGCTTGCCACCTGTCTGTGACACAGTAGCCACTGACTTATGCTCCACAGGCATTGATATCTGCAGTTTCAGTGAAGATATAAAACCTGGTGATTCTTTATTACTGAGTGTTGAGGAAGTGCTTCGCAGCTTAGAAACTGTTTCAAATACAGAGGTTTGTTGCCCTAATTTGCAGCCCAACTTGGAAGCCACTGTATCCAATGGACCTTTTCTGCAGCTTTCTTCCCAGTCTCTTAGCCATAATGTTTTTATGTCCACCAGCCCTGCACTTCATGGGTTATCATGTACGGCAGCAACTCCGAAAGTAGCAAAATTGAATAGAAAACGATCCAGATCAGAAAGTGACAGTGAGAAAGTTCAGCCACTTCCAATTTCTACTATTATCCGAGGCCCAACGTTGGGGGCATCTGCTCCTGTGACAGTGAAACGAGAGAGCAAAATTTCTCTTCAACCTATAGCAACTGTTCCCAATGGAGGCACAACACCCAAAATCAGCAAAACTGTACTTTTATCTACTAAAAGCATGAAAAAGAGTCATGAACATGGATCCAAGAAATCTCACTCTAAAACCAAGCCAGGTATTCTTAAAAAAGACAAAACAGTAAAGGAAAAGATTCCTAGTCACCATTTTATGCCAGGAAGTCCTACCAAGACTGTGTATAAAAAACCCCAGGAAAAGAAAGGGTGTAAATGTGGGCGTGCTACTCAAAATCCAAGTGTTCTTACATGCCGCGGCCAACGCTGCCCTTGCTACTCTAACCGCAAAGCCTGCTTAGATTGTATATGTCGTGGCTGCCAAAACTCCTATATGGCCAATGGGGAGAAGAAGCTGGAGGCATTTGCTGTGCCAGAAAAGGCCTTGGAGCAGACCAGGCTCACTTTGGGCATTAATGTGACTAGCATTGCTGTACGCAATGCTAGTACCAGCACCAGTGTAATTAATGTCACAGGGTCCCCAGTAACAACGTTTTTAGCTGCCAGTACACACGATGATAAAAGTTTGGATGAAGCTATAGACATGAGATTCGACTGTTAAATCAGTTGGTCTTTAAACCTACCTCTGGTAGGGAAATAGCTACAGTTTTACGGCAGCTATGGTTTTGTTGGTTTAACTTGCCGGAGCTCCTGCATATAGATCACTTGTATCAAGTGTTTTCATTGCTAAGTTATATGTGTTAGTGTCGGGGAAATAGTTTGCAGATAATGGAGGAGTAACCCTACAACTATATGTCCTTAGTTCTTACAGAACCTCATAGTTTGAGAACAAATGCTGATGCAACTGATTTATACAAAATGAACTTTGGCAAGGAAAATAACATTAACCTCATTGTTTATGGTCATGCTTTGTGCATAATCAAAGTTTATGATTAAAATGTAAGGAAGTGGTATCTAGTCAGTCCATAAAGATTGTGCTAATATTTTGTGAAAAAGTAGCCATTAGTTTGTTCAGGAGACTCAGTGCTGCCTTCAGATGCTATTGATGTTTCTCCTGTTGAAAAGCTGATGTGTCCAGCTCAACCTTTGTGCTGATGTAATACCATTTCTGATCATGAAAATTGGCTACTGGTGTATGTAGCAGTTCTTAAATCAGCAGTATTATGAAAGAAAATTTGCCCCTCATTAGAATGTTGAAATCTGTCTTTTAAAAAGTGAACAAACTGAAATTCTGTCAGACTGCAGATGTTTAGCTGTTTATGCTATAGAACTCTTCTGAGTTGAGTCCCTTTTATAGTTCACGTCTGACTCATTTCTAGGAAAAAATTTGAAATCCTTCCTTCACTTTTAGCAATGTTATGATTAGATAAGTGGAGAAGAGCAGTTTTATTCTGAAGGTAATTGAATTTAGATTATAAAATGTGATAGAATTTTAAAAAAAATCATAAAAATTTTTATTTAGAAGTTGGGATTTATTTAAAATAATTTTGGAATAATGCCCCAAAACTTAACCAGATTTATGCATTGTATTTATTGCTATTGGCCACTTCTTTGATTTTTTTTTTTTTTTTTTTTTTTTTTTTTTTTTTTTTGTTCCTCTGATAGTTTCATCCTTTATTTTGAATATGCCCCTTCTCTTTTCTTTCTTTCTCTTTCGGTGCTATTTGTTATGAAGGCTTCTTTATAGAGGCCAAATAAAAATGCCTTTTTATGAAGCCTGTGCATTTAGGTAGGTTTGAAGCTAGGAGGTTGTTTTTTTTTTTTTAGAATGCTCTTTTGCATGTAAAGCACAAACTGTGTTTCAGTTTAAATGCATGTCTTCCCTTTAATTTTTATGGGGGAGACAAGTACAAACATTCTGTTGAAGGGAAATCTAGTCAGTTGCTTGAAAAGAGCACAGCCCAAACAAAACAAGGACTGACTAGGTTGTAAAGAAATGACCTTATGATTTAAAAGAAGAATTGCTGTTTTGACAGTGCTTATTTAAAGAAAAATACTGCTGGAAAATTTCCAATTTCTACTACGTTCACCATCTCTGATGAGATCTGACATGTTGAAGTTATGTTTTGATTTGGCACACAGCATGTTCAATGATGGTTACTCACCTAGTACAAGACATGGAGAAGAAACCTTTGGACACAGAGCAGATGACACCTCCTTCTGTTTTGTAGTGTATCCTGGTGTCATTTTCTGTGAATGTGGTCAGGTAGAGTTGTTTTTGTTGTTGTTGGGCCTTTTTTTTTTTTTTTTTTTTTTTTTTTTTTTTGTCTCTTTTGGTGGGGTGGGGGTGGGCTAAAGCCATAGGAAGAAAATGTGATGTATGTGTCCAGTATGTACTATTTTGTTTTTGTTTTGCAAGAAGAGTTGAACTATTTTTGATAACAAGAGTAAATGGTGGAAAATGCTTCTTAGTTGTCTTGTCTTTATTTGCTTTCCAAGTTTTGGAATTTTATTTAATTCCTCTAAGTGTTAGCAGTGTCTTATGCAACATGTATTTGCCTAAAGTTTGTAACAGTTTTGTGTTGAACTCAGATGCCCTGATATATAAACTTGTAAATCTGTTCTTTATTCACTAATGATCACTGCAAAAATGACTAGAACTGAGATTGTACACATGGATGATTAGGATATATTTTGCACATCTCCCAAACTTTCCTAATATTATGATCTTAAAATTCATAGAATACTTTATTGCTTCCCAAGTTTGATAATTTTAGTTTTGTGTTTTTTGATGCATGGGAGGTTGGCAATATAGACAAAGCGGAAATCATTAGTATGTGAGGGCCTTGATTGTTATGTAATATTGCCAATGATGAATTCAGGTTGTTTTTAGCACAAGTTTCTCTTTTTTATGCTGGTATTCTCACTGCCACATTTTTGGAAACCTGTATTACACCTTAATTCTATCAATAAATGTTAGTTTTCTAATTCTATGTTGTAGAATACTGAGGAGTTTGGGATAGCATGCTCTGAATGGCCTATATTATATACATCTGGGGAAGAATAATTAATTACAGTGCCTTGATTTTTATATTGTTTTTCTTTATACCATGAGTTATTTAGGAATGCTGACCAATGGCTAACTAGGGATGATTAAGAAATTATTACTGAAGTAACTGGATTTACTTTATCAGGATTTGAAACACCAAAACAATAACAGCTTTTAATATGACACATCTTCATTTGTTCTTTGAGTCTTTGTTATTAATGTACGTAATCAAATGATCTTTCACCTTAGTTGATAGAGAATTTTTATAGCTGGTGATTTATCTTTTTTTCATTAAGTCTACATTTCTGTGCAGAGCTATAATATGGATCTAGGATAAAGAATTTCTTTTTGTTCTTAGTATTCTTGAAACAATTCTGTGGTGACCTTGAAGAAAAGTCTTAGATGAAAAATAAAATTTTCTTTCCCGTATCATTGGTGACAAATACAAAAATGCTTTAGAGAATACTGAGTTCAAAGTATAGTGTTGGAATCTAATACTTGGATGATATTTTAACTTTTCTCCCTCCTTTCTAAAAAAGTTTAGGTACAGTTTTTTAAAAAGAATACATTATATACAAGGCTAAAGTTTTTGATCCTTGTAAACCTCTTATTCCCAATATCTAGTCCTCTTCCTTATTCCTCTCCAGAGGAAATCCCTTCTCAGTTATGAGGTGTTATCCTTCTAAATCTTTCTTTATAGTTTTCCCCAGGGGTTCAAAGAGTTATTCTTTGAAACTCAAATTTACAGTGTTACTCTCTCAAACATAAAAATGAGTTGCAAGAGTGAATAAAACCAAAAGTGTGTAGTGATTATCTTCGTGAACATGGTTCATATTTGACAACTTGTCTTTATTTAGTTTTGCAAAAAGGGAAAAACAAAAACAAGTCATGCAGGTTTCTCCACCCAAACACACTTTAACATTTCCAAAAACTGAGCAAATGCCTTACCTCATTAGATTCTAGAATTTTATAAATACTTTGACACGGTGACATAGATAAGATGCAGAGAAAATACACGGAATTTCATTAGTTTGATTACCTCGGCAATTAATGTTATGAAATTCATTTTTCATTGACTAGCATTAAGACCATGATAACCTTCAGTTTTTATCAAGGAGTCAGAGATACTGTTAAAAACTTGAAATTTCCAGTTGGGCAGTAATGATTATATTTAGTGAAATCTTTACCAGAAAGTCATATATATACTGTCCTAGTTCTCAGAATTCACATTTCTTGCATTCAACTCTTAGGAGTACAGTAAAACGCTTCTGTCTGAAAATACGATACTTTGGGTAACCTAAATTAAAATAGCTTTATCTTAAATGGAATGATACTGTTAGCTGTTACTTTTTATAATTACAGACTTTTGAAACAAAGTACAGACCAAAGTAAAAGCAAGAGGATTTCAGTAAGGAGACACAAGGTACAGAGGTAAAAAGCCAAATAGTATTAAAAAAAAATCAAATGTATATTGAATTTTTTTACTTTTTGTTGAGGCTTAGAAATATTTTAGACCATTATGGATAATAAAACCTTTAAATCCTATCTTGGCTAATTAAAAATTATTTTTAATATTTTATGTGAAATAAAATTGCTTTCTCTCCCTGGTAAAAGGGTGGATGAGATAGATGGTAAAGTTCATGTATCACAAATACATAAACTTTTAATCCTAATTTACTAGTCTATTTAAGTTACTGCATATAATTTTTCCTAAAAATTTAGTCATTTTTAAGCTTTTAGTTCTTTGTGAACTGTTAGATACCAAATTTTAATATTTATGTTTTCTGTAACAGTTAAATGGAAGATTAGTTCTGATCATAAAAGGTAAAATAACAGCAAACTGTATCAGTAAAATAACTTTCAGTTGATGGTGCATTTCCTAAATTGCCCTTATCTCCACTTTTTGCCTACCATAGCCCATGGTTTGATTATTTCATTGTTTGACTTTTCATACCAGTAAGGGGGAACCAAAGCAGGGTGGCAAGGGAAGCTATTCTGACATTCAGGACTGTGGTTAAAGCAGAAAACCCAGGGAAAAGGTGATGACTTTGACAGAGATAGTTGTTAAAAAGTTTCTTGGGGGTTTCTTTGACTTAACGCTATTAGAAATTTCCATCCTTTTAAATAATTTATTTTCAGTTTTTAAGGATATTGCAGGATTTGGCTGCATTGTGGCTTGCTAAAAAAAAGGTAGAATTCTGTAATGAACACATCTACTATATAGTAAAGATGAAACTGGTTTCCTTTATGGGTGGCATCATGGTTTTCTTCCATTTTTGTGCTAAATACTGAGGTGATGGAATATTTGAAATAGTTTGTTTTCAACATGAATGGATAATGTTTAGATTGAGGCCTTTACTGTTGGCTTAGTGTAATATTCAGTGATGAATACATCTAGTAAAAATTTTCATATATCACTAAGTCTTCAAGTAGGCCTTCTGCTAGGAAGTGTAGATGGGGGGGGGCATCAACTAATTTGAGGGTCAATAAGTCATTCAGTAATTCTCCACAAATGTTAGATAAGTTAAAAGGAAATTTTTTCAAGTATGAGTCAAATTCTGTACTTAGAAGTGTTTTTCATCCTATTTTATATAAGATCCACAGTCAGGATGGGGAGAGATTATGCAGAGCTTGCCAGCAAGGTTGGAAGGCCCAGTGGTTACAATACCTGAGGATGTAAAGTGACTAGCAGTTTGGCAGGTCATTGTGAAATTACGTTAAACCAAGTAATAAGTTCAAGATCTTTGAACTCCAGTACACATATTAAAAAGTCTGAGATGTTCTGGCAGTGCTTTTATTACCAGGGGTAAGTCACTTCTGGAGGCCCTTTAACTGCTTTCTCAAGTTCCAGAGTTTTTCTGACTCAAGTTTTCTGCAAGTGAAGGCTTCTGGGCTCCATAGGAGCCCTGAGGGACCTCAGGGATGCTGGACAACAGAGGCAACTCCTGCTTTTGTGCAGAGAATTGTGCTTGGCACTGTCCCCAAGAGATCGCTGGTACATTCAGGGGTGAAGAGTGCAGATTCACAGACTTTGGAAGGTGATGTATATCACTGTATTTGTTTGGAGAAAAAGGTTTGTAAGGGGTTCGAGGCAAACTGGAGGAGTCCCCCAAATTGAGCATGTGTATCCAGATCTATTGCTTAATGTCTTAAAGTTCCTAGTGCAGATACACACTTGCAGAAATCAAAGCCTTTAAAAAGCAGTATGCAAACTGGAGCATCTCCACAAGAAAAAGATTTAAAATACATATCTCTTTCATGTAGACCTTGGCAGCTATTCTTCATCCACTGACTGAAGCTTTCCACATTTCTCTGAAAGGCTTGAGGTTACTATTTGACTTTTATTGCCTTTGTTTCCAATTTCAGAGGGAGAGACAGGTTCTTCCGTTTCATAATCTTCAAAGGAGCTGAAAGAACAAACAAAAGTGAGTTACCGATTGAAAAAAACAAAAAAAACCATTGTTTGGGTAGAAGTCGATATGGCAAACTAGAGACTGGAAACCACCAGCTTGCAAAAGTACCCTCAGTTGCTAAATGACAGTTGTGAACAACTGAACCATGCTGGAGGAGACCATGGTTTCATCTAGAATAGAAAACATACTTTCTGTGTTCCTTAAAGCCCAAGTTCATGTTAGGATTTGTTGAAAATGTGCTGTATCTAGCTTTTCCTAGGAGCGTTGGTATGAATGAGAGCATTATGGAGGCGACTAGGTTAGGGAGGGTGTGAGGTCCATAAAGTACAACTTTATATGACTGCCTTCATTGAAGTGGCTTTCATGCAGAGTGGGGAATGTTCAGCTCAAATTGCTTTATAGCTTCTTTGGTTTCCAAGAAGTACATTTAGATGTGCAAGTGTGTACATAGAGTAGGTTAAAGCCTATTCATGGATTTCCTTCCATTCTTTACAGAACTCCCCAGCATATTCCCTCTGCCTACTCCCCTTAGAAGTTCTTGGAATCCCCTGAGTTCCATTATTTTCCAGGCTATTCTTGAGGGTGGCCTTAAGCAGGGATGACAATATTATATCTAGTGGGAATGATGGCTGCTTGAAGTATTGATAAATAATATGCTGAGGCTACATCTAGGCCCAGAGAAATATACATGATAGTTATTACCAATGTTACAGTATTTGGCATCACCAGGCTTATTAAAACCTTACCATTTGCAAGGACTTTTTACACAGTATCTGTGCAGAAATTCCTGAACATAATAGTTCTTTCATCAAAAAGGTACCAAGGCTGGCTAATGTAACCTATGGTGAGACAGGTATACCCAATAGTAGAGGTGGTACCTATTTAGCTCTAAAACATTTTTGAATAGAGGGTAGAGAATATTAAACCAACAAACAAAAAGCCTAGCTGATGTTTAGAAAACTTCTTGAGTACCAATTCATGATCCTATCAAATATTATTTACAACATCATTTTGCAGAAATACCCCATTCTACACTTTGTTTCTACTCTTCTCCCCATCTCCTTGAGGCCTCAGTGTAACTGGCATCTGTTGGATAAGGAGGCAGAAGGGAGGGTAACTTTGCTTTAAGGGTTGATGGTTGAGCCTCCATTACTGGACCAAAATTCTCAAAAGCTAATTCTAGCAATGCAGTGTCAGATGTTGTGCTTATTTCCTGTCAAGAGTGAAAGACATTTTCTTCTCAGTGCAGATCTGGGAGTAAGTTCAAGAGGTCTGAACTAAGACTCGTTCAATAAATATCTAGCCCCTTCCTACCAAGCGTGTACTATAATGGAGGCCATCTGGAATAATGGTTAAGTGGTTTACAGCTTTAGAGCATGGGCTTTGGAAAAGTCAGGTTCCAATCTCAGTTTGATCACTTAATGTTATTTTGGGTATGTTAACACCTCTGCATCAGTTTCCTGAACTAATGAGGTAATAGCAGTTCCTACCCCCTCATAAGGGTCAAGTGGAGATTGGGTGAGAGGACCTACTATTTTCATGATAGAGAAGTGTTCGGGCTTACTACTGGAGCAGGATGGTGACACCTAATCCTATTAAGGGGTCAGGGTCACATTGTGTATGTTATTTGTGAATACAAATTTTTACCAAAGTATTTTTTCCCACTGTAGCCTCATACCAGAAATGGGATTTCTAGCAATGGATTTGATCCAATCTAGTACATAAAGATATCCTAATGCCCTGTGGGTTGTATACAGAGGAGAGCCACCTGCATTTCTTTTGTACTTTCAAGGCACCAAGAGCAGTACTATGCATGGAAGCTTTGGAGGAATCTTCTGGATTGAGGGAGCTCATTTAGAATCTTTGTCTTTTTTTTTTTTTTTTTTTTTTTTTTTGTGATGTTTATTTTAGAGAGAACATGAGCAGGGAAGAGGCAGAGAGAGACAGAATCCAAAGCAGGCTCCAGGATCTGAACTGTCAGCACAGAGCCCTATGAGGAGCTTGAACTCACGAACTGTGAGATCATGACTTGAGCCAAAATCAGATGCTTAATGGACTGAGCCACCCAGGCACCCCTAGAATTTTTTTATCAGTGTCCTGGAGACTTTTCGTACTCTACCTCAGTGTTTCTCAAATGGAGGCGATTCCCCCCACCCTGGGACATTCGGCCATGTCTGGATGCATGTTTGATGGTCACAACCGGGTGGGTTCTCTACTGACATCTAGTTGGTAGAGTTCAGAGATGCTGCTAAACATCCTATAATGTGCCAGACAACACCTCACAAGTGAATTATTCAGCTTAGAACATCAGTGGCACTGAGAAACACTGCTCTAACTCTTGCCCCTTCAGTCTTAATGCATCCCCGCATTCTGGACTAAGCTCTTCTTATTTTGTACTTCTCTGGATGGTCATTCTTTCTTAGGGCTTTATCCACCACTTGTTTACCTGCAGTTTCTAAATGTACAAATCCAGCCTCAGCCTCTAAGCTGGAGACTGCCATGTATCCACCTACCTACTCTTATGGCCCTTCCATTATGGCAGTATATACAAAGCTGAACTCCTCCTTCCCACACCCTGGCTCCACCATAATCTACCCCTTTAAAGCCAGAAATCCAGTGATTCCCAAGTTTCTCTTCCCTCCTTTGCCTTCCCCTTTTCAAATCCAGCCAGTTTCTTATACCACTTAGAATAATACATGGACACAGTCCTGCCCCTCTCTCCCCATTGCCACTGATTTAGTTCAGGGCACTGTATTTCATTGCTTGGATTGCAATAGTTTTCTAACAACTGGTCTTCTGCCTTCACTCTTGTCACATACCCTTTGCTATTGCCATAGCAGGCTTTTTAGCTGGTCAAAATGGGTTCTGGTCTTGGGACCTAATGCCCTTGTACATGTTCTTCTGTGGCCTGCAGTGACCTTACCTTTTGGTTAACTTGTTCTCATCTTTCAATCTGAAAGGTCATTTAAAAGTTTCTTGGTTCCCAGTGCCTGAGTAACCACCATCTCTTTTGTTAAATTTTTGTTTAAATTCCAGTAAACGTAGAGTGTAGTATTAGTTTCAGGTGTTCAATATAGTGATTAAATACTTCATACAATGCCGGGTGCTCATCACAAGCACCCTCTTTAATCCCCATGACCATCTCTTATTTAGATGTTTGCAATGGCTTCCTTATTAGTCTCCCTGCTTCTATTCTTGTACCACTAGCAATTTGAAGATTACTATCTTCAAAAACTGGAAATGGGATTATATTACTTTCTTAATTCTTTTTCAATACCTTCCCGAGGCCCTGCATGATCTGGCTCCTGTGTATCTTTCCAGCTGTATTTCCCTATTGGCCATTATATTCCAGTCATACTGGCCTTTTAAAATGTCCTCAACAGACTGTTTGTTTCCTGACTCAGAGCCACTGAATATATTTTTCCCTCTCCCTAGAACATTTTTGCTCCCTGCTTTTTTCAGAGCGATTTCCTTCTTAACCTGTAGGTTCTCATCATCTCAGGAATTTTTCTCAGCACCCTAAATAGTAAGTCTCTTTCCATTATTGGCTCACTCTGTTTCCTTCACAATTACATAATTAAATGTCTGTCTTCTCCACTTGATTATAAAATATCCATTTGCCAACTCACTAATTTCCTTGGGCTATAGAATAGTGCCTGGCACTAGATGCTCAAAATGATTAATAAAAAATGATGTCCTAAGTAAGGCTCTTGTGAAATGATACATTGAGTTGTCAGGGAAGGCTGAAGTCAGTAAAATGGTGAGAGTGCAAAAGTCATCTTGAAGTCACTTGAGTTAGAACTGTGAGAGTCTAAACTTTATCCTGTTCTCTAGAAAAATTCCTGAGAGAGCGAGCTGATTCCTTCTAAATGACCACTTCGAGGTTTACTTGTAGGTAACTGGGATTCCTCTGGGCACAAATGAAGATTTTATGAAATATTCTGTTAACTGGCTATTTTTGAATGAGTAGCAGGGTCAGAGGATTGAAGCAGAACTCCTTGGGTTCACAAATAGTTCATTAGAAAGCCTACGTATCAAACTGAGAAGAAATTTAACCTAGTATTAACAGTGTTGTTAGTATAAGGAAAAATAATGGTCATATATTTTTCCTAGCAATATGTTGCCTTTAAAAACCTGTTCCCCTAAGTTTTTCCCTCTCAGATGAGCAATTTCTGGACAAAAGTATTAAGGCTGGTTCTGCTGATTCCTGGAATTAGAAATAATGATTGGCACATATATGGTCAGAAAAAGGATTTGTGCGGTTTCAGGGTTTATTTGGGAATTGTGGTCTGATTCTATTTTTGGGATTCTATTTTCAGGGGTAAAGGGCAAGAATATCTGATTCAGGGTTTGAGGAAATTTAAGACACATGTTGGCTATAAGCATAGAATAAAATGTTAAGTAGTTCTTTAATTTGGAGTCTCTAATGCTTTAGAAATAGGAGTGGATCAATCTTACCTTTACACCTTTAAATCCTAAAGCACTTACGTAAAATGGATTAACTGAAATACTTGGGAAGTTGGACATTTGGATCAATGAATTTCCCTATTGACCCGTTCAGTAACTAGAAATTTTGTTCCAACTCTTGCTAAAGTTTCTTAATATGTACTACTACCCACTCTTCTTGCCTCAGAAGTTGATCGCACTTCCTTTTTGGTCTCTTGCAGTTCCCTAGGGTCTAAGCCATCTGTTGTTTATTCTTACTTAGTTCGTGTGTAGATAGCATAAAAATTTGGGTTTAAATATATTCTAATTATGAACTTGAAGGGAGGAATAGGGTTCATTCATTTTTATTACTAACCACAGTGCCTGGCATTGAGTAAGTGCCAGTGAATATCTGTTGAAATAAAATTGGGCTTTGATTTGTTCAATGCAGAAAAAAATTAAAACTATATTATTAAATTCAGGTCTATATAAAGGTGCTGTTTAATGAGCACTATAAAACGTAACTTAGAACTATTCTTTTAAGGCTGTAACTCATGCTTTAGAATATG